GAACATATTGGATAATCAAATCCAAGATTTTCTACATTTATATTATTAAGTTTTATTTCTATCCTCTTCTATATAATTTTCTCATAACCAGTACTCTTATTTATAAATTGCCTAAAGTTTTATTTCAAATACTATAAATTTGTATTTACATCATTAGATCACGTTTCAGCATTAATTACCAGAGCTTTCATTTCTGTTAGAAAACATAAATCTTCAAAGGCACTTGCAACTTAAATATAATTAGCTAAGATTAGACTTAACATATTTTGTTAATTAAAGTGAATAACAAATCATAGGATTAGATTAGGTTTCTATTTTCATAAACTATTAAAAATGCTAGCAATGAGCTTAATGATCAATATTCTGTAAGAACATATAACTAGTTACTACTATACAAAAAGTGATAATATCACAATAGACATTAGTATATTCACTAAAATATATATGCTAAAAAATCTAAAATATATGTTATTATATTTATATATTTGCTATGATTATTGTTTACTGCCTATCCATTTTACTAGTTTTTTTTAATGCTAAAATTTTGAAGCTTCTTTTTTTGTTTAATGTCTTCCAAAGGATTTATTCTAAAACTTTTTTTAGAACATTTTTGAAGTTCTCTACTTCTTTTTTGAGAATACCTGTCTATTCATCTTATTTTACTTGTACAAATAATACTGTAAAAATCCTGACGATATTGAGAGGTTCTATTGTTAAAAGGAATTTTTTCATGTTTTTTGATAGAATAAAATTTAAATGTTAGTATAAAGCTTCCTAGGTAAGTAAAAAATAATGTAAAGGCATAATAATTTTACTATACTGCCCTTTTAAATTAATTCCATTTATGATCTTCTAGGCTTACATTCATATTTGAAAAGAAACAGGAGAATATGCACTGAAGTCTTATGTCAAAATTTTGTATTTGTTAGTAAAAGATATATGAAATGTGTATTATAAATATTAATATTGCAAAGGTGTTAAAGAATATGCATTATACTTTTTTTTCACTTGATCACTTAGTAATAATGGCTTAGTAATATTATATAATATACTCTAGACAAAATCTAGTAGGAATAGCCTGTAACTTGAGAGAAAATAAACTCATAAATAAATGCTATTCAGATAGATAGGAAAAAAATTCAAAATATTTTTGGAAATCGATTTCTAATATGTGAAAATTATTTTATCACACAAGCAGTCACATAAAGTTATAGATGATTTATAATGTATTACTTATTATATCATATGCATTTTAACGAGAATCAAAAATGTGCTAATTTATGTCATATACACTTACATATATTGTGATAAAGTAAAGTAAAGTGTATTTTTCAGGTATACTTATACTACATTATGTGAAGTACTTCTAAATTAGTCACAGTTTACAAGGTAATAAAAAGATATTATCAATTTTGAGTATTTTCATAATAGTCAATAATAGATATCAATTCAAATAGAAATCTTCTTGAGAAATCAAGACCAGGCCTGTATACTATATTTTTTAATCATCATCTTAATTAATCTTTCTTAGCTTCTATCTATTTACCAGAAAAACAATAAATACATTTCTTATATGGTAGTGTTACTTTGACTGGATTAATTATTCTAGTATATTTTGAATAACTTTTTCTAAATAAAGTATAAAACTCATCACAAACTATAATATACTCTTCTTGCGTCTTAGGATTTTTTACTATCTGTTCTTTTCTAAGTATACCTAAAAACTTCTTTTTATTGGAAGTACCATTATTCCTTACCTGCCTTCCAAATTCATTTTGCTAAAGATTCAAGTCTCTTCTTATAATTCCTATAAGCTTGCTAGATAACTGTTGTATAAAAATTTTTAAAGCCATATTGATAGTAGTATTTAAGAATTAAAAATTCTCAAGATCGCTTCATCTTTATTAAAATAGTTATAGATTAGAAGATCTAACCCAAAATAGGTAAATTATGTATAGTATTTTTAGCTAATTTTTACAGATGATCATTCATACAGATTATATAGCGTAAAAATTAAATTATATTACTCAGCTAAATAATTATACACTATTTTAAAAAGAATCTATAATTCAGAAAATTCATTATACATATTCACAATTATTATTAAAATTTGAGAAATCTATATTAACAACTTTTTCTTGAAAATAAAAATATTCAGATTCATAATAATAGTTTTTGGTAAATTACATAGATCTGTTTTACTATGTAATTTACACATTTCATATCATGTATATTCTAAACTTCTAACAAAGTTTTCATTACCATTGTTAGGGTATTTCTCAATATAGTAATATTTAAGATTTGATAGTCACTTCAACATATAAGACTAATAATAATATTCAATGATTCTATAGCCTTGCAGATGTAATTCTATAAAAGCAACTATATATGCTACAATATTTAATCATTTCTATAACTATTTTCTCTTTTTTCTGTCTAGCTTTATAGAGTATAATGATTATACAATGTAAGATTATACTGATCATATACAGGTACGTCTTTAGCTTGAATTTTATCTAAACATTATATCTCACCTAAAGATAGTATATATATTGATCATTATAAACTCTTATTTTATGAGGAGTTATATCTAGAAACTTCTTCTCGTCAGAAGTACCATCATTTTTTATCATATTCCAAACTTATTTTGCTTATATTTTAAGTCTTAACTTGAAAACTCTAAGCCTATTGAACAACTTTTACATTATTAATTAAATGATTTATGTACTTTTTCCTAATTTTATATTTATATGCATAACTATAATTAACCAAGCCTTTATTGAATATAAAATAATATATTTGATAAATCTTTTCAATCTCATTAGAACTGAGTATTGATATTCTTTCTCCTTTTTTTACATTCTTTCATACAGAGTTAGAATGCATTTCAACAGTTTTAGTAATATATTTCTTCAGATGATTATTATTATATTTGATGATATTTTCATGAATAATTACTCAAGAATCATATATAGTGTAATAAATATAAAATGAGCGTCTTCTAGCTTTAAATTCTTAATCTTTATATGATCTTTCAATTATTTGAATAAATTCATTTTTGGAGAAGTATTTTGGATAATATTTAAGAAATTTCTTAAATGGATAATGAATATAAGAATACTATATTTCTAGTATTTTACTACTATACCTATATTACAGATTGTTTAACGTTTGCACAACTATAAGATTTAAACTATTATAGTTATTAGATTTAACCATTTTATAGATATAAGGACTTTATAGCAATTTATAGCTGATTAATAGCATTTTTAGTGATTTATAGTGATTTTTTATCAACTTATTCTAAAGAATAACATGATTCAAATTTATATGGATTTAGCAGAATGGTATTTTACTAGCAGTTTTTATTAATTTGTAATCTATTTAGTAAGACTATACTCTATAAATTTGAGTTCATTTTTATTTGATTATTTAGGTGAAAAACAGATTTATCTTTTTTTTTGATTCAGTTAAATTAGACCTGAATAAAATTTTAATAAAGACTAAACTTACCCTATTGTTTTTATCATTCAAATTGTTTTAGGACCAATTAGAAATTGGTAAATATTTTTTTCAACGATTTATAATCAAAAAATTTGGTGTTATGTTTAAAGTATAAAAAGGTTAGAAGCACATAAAGAACTAGAATCCAGTTTTAGGTTTCATGAATTTGTGTTTAAGACGTGAAATCTCAGATTACAGTTGGATGCAAAATTTATTTTAAAGACTAATTATTTAAACTATGCTGTGTTACAAAAATCCATGTTACGTTTTTCTGAATTTATTAATCAATGAAATACTATTTTTATATTACAATGTTTTTATATGAATAATTTTAGTTAATTTTATTTTTCATTTAATTAGCTTTTTAATGGATTTTCATATTAGTTGTTCTTAGATCAATTGATACTTAAATATAGATGCGGATATAAAATATTCTATACTCTCAATTAATTAAATAGATTGACTCATTTGACAACTCATTATCTTCAGAATTCATTATATTGAAACAACTGATCCACGTATCTATGCACTAAATATAATTGGTTATATTAATCGATATTGTCACTGTTTTGTCATGTGACATTTGTAAAGCTCCGAACGGTTCGGATTAATCCGAAGATTTTTCGGATCGGATCGGATCGGATCGGATCGGTTTCGGATTCCATAAAATTCAATCCGAAAGTTCGGTTCGATTATATGCGAAACTCTTGGAGGATCGCAAAATTTGCAAATTCTCTAAGAGGTTCGCAAAGTATAGCGAAACTCTTAGAGAATCGCAATTTTTTTGCGATTTCTCTTCGAATTTTCGCAAAAAATATCGCGAAACTCTTGGAGAATCGCAAAAAATTGCGATTTCTCTTCGAATTTCGCAATTTTTCGCGAACCTTGAAAAGAAATTCGCGATTTTTTTGCGATTCTCCTAGAGTTTCGCATATAAATTGCGGATTTTCTTCGAGATTCGCATATAATCGAACCGTAATTTCGGATTAATCCGAAAATTCCGGTTCGGTACGGATTTTTACCGGTCTGCGGTTCGGAGCTTTAGACATTTGTCGCTGAGTCGGATCAGCCCATATGTACCGTTTCACCTGAAAAAAAATTAATTAATATGTCTTTTTTTATAAGTCATGTGATTATGGTGAGTGGTGTGATTTATGTGATTTAGTAAAGTCATTCCATGATTTCCATCAGCATGAAACATGCGACATTAGACATAACACCTGATAGGACAAATTTGGTGAACGGAAATTTTTAATTAATCATGAGATAGAATTAACGTTAATAATAGAATTAATTATCCCAAAAATAGGAATTAGGGTTCTATTATAAATAAAAGAAAAAAATGTTCCAACTGAATAATCATAATCACTCCTGTAACAAAAATTTTAAAAAATATGGAAAATAATAAAATTACGAGGAAAACCCCAAATACTAATACAAAAAAAGTAAGAAAAAATACGAAATTAAATTTGCCTTTTACTTGGACTAAGAAAAAGATGGCTAGTTTATTATTGATGATTTGGTTATCGGTTAATGGGGTGAATGGTGGAGAAAATCTCAAAGAGTGTGTAAGTCATGATACAGGATTCTACAGTCAATATGATACAGTGGTGAATTTTGCTAGTAACATAGCTGATAAACAATTATTTTGTTGTAATGTTCCTATTGGTAGTACAGATGTAGGTTGCTCTCCCATGTCTCCTAATTGTCCTTATTATCCTAATTATTTTCGCGGACAATGTAATACAATTGGTCAATCTAAATTTTGTGTTACTCAAGCTCCTGAGGGATTTTATGTTCAATCTTCAAGCCAAAAAATTAATCTGCCTGGTGGTTTATGTGGCGGTATAATTGGCAATAATTCTCCTACTAATGCAACAGTTGGAGAATGCCCCAACGCAAGCGCTATAAGTAATACTTTAGTGAACCAAAGAACAGCTGCAACATTTAGTTGGTTATGTTGTGGTAAAGATACTTGCAGGGTTCCGGCTAATGTGCAAGTAACAAACACATTGTCAGCTATCACTGGTTGTTTTAGTGATGAATGGAGTATGATGTGCTTTAATGACAATGGTGGTTGGGGTTGTACTGGTAATGTAAGCCCTAATATTGAAAACATTACTCTTCCAATAGGTAGTTGCGTAGTGCAAGTAGTTTTTCCGAGAAGTGATACTACTAGTCCCAGTTCTAGCAGTGATGTTTCAAAACCGACTAGCAGTGATATTTCAAAACCGACTAGCTCAGGAATTTCTAAACCTTTTGGACGGAATTATTCGATTTCATCGATTTTAAAGATTGTGATACCAGTCTTGGGAGTTTTGTTTGTATTAGTAGCAATTATCTATTTCGTTTTCGTGAGAAATAGAAATACTACCGTCACTAACGTGCAAACGAACCTTGAACCTAAAAGAGGATACATCCATCACCATATAGATTGGACAGAAAGAGTATAGATAGAGTAAATTAATGAAACCATTTAGTTATAAAAAGGCAAATGATTACGTAATTTACAGTATGTCAAATTATCAGTCAATTAATTTGAAAGAACTATAATTTAATTTTATTGTATTGTATATATATCTAAGCATACTTATTTAATGTAAAAATCAATATATTTATCAAAATATCAACAACAAATTCTTATAAAATGTTAAGCATTATGAAAAATTATCATTTTTTTTATTTTTTTGTTACTCATTTTTTTTCTTTTTTGAAACGCGAAATTTTTCTAAGATAAATGTTGCACAAACAAATCAGACCAATAAAATTCGACACCATAACATATCACGTGATTTACGCAGTCCCTGCCAGTTCCACGATACTCCTGGCCACTTTCATGGCGCTGAGTGGTTTCTCAAATCACGAGTGATCGGAATATCATGTGGATTTAAAAAATGGCTAAGCACCATTATTATTATTCGATTAATCATTTCATTAAATCAAATCAATTATCCTTCGCTATGATCGGAATACATCACTCGATATTTTCATAAAACCGGCCCAATTTTCATGGAGTTCTCTCATCAATGTAAACATGTCTTCTTCTACTGACGCTCAGCTTCGTCTTCTCATCACGAACGTAAACAAAGAAATTTCGAATATCATGCCATCCCAAATAAGAAAAAACAAGATTTTTGGGACGATATCGCCAGTAAGCTTAACGAACAAGAGAATACCAACTTTTTCCTCGGTAAAGACTGTCACAAGAAGTTCTTAAGCATTACGAAAGCTTTTAATGTAAGTAGGCCTACTTGGATTTTACGTGGAATCTAGGGTTTATACTTACTATTTTTTAGACGGTCAAAAGATATAGAGAAGGAACTGGAACCAAGAAGAGTTTGGTGGGGAAAAAATATACGAAGAGTTCTCAACGAAGTTCTGGTTAAAACCAGGTATGTTTCTGTAGAAAATAAGCGGGTGAATTAACACGATTCTATCTATCACCATTCGCTAGAACTTCCATTCGAGCAAATGCGCAATGAAAATGTTAGGTCAAGAAGTGCGAGTTCTCCTGAGGCATCATCCTCTTCAATCTCACCTGAACGGCCCAAATGGAAATCAAGTTCTGAGCAACCATTGGAAAAAGCTGTCAAGTAACCCCCTAAATCATCATCACTCGCAACATCAAATCCATCAACCGTCGAAACATCTAATACCTCTGTTCCAACAGACCCGTAACCTCATAGGAAGACTTTCATGTGATTGGCCCGATAAGGTTACCCAAAATTTACAATTAATATTGTAATTATTTATGTATATCACGTGATATTGTTATAGCGATATATATTAGTAAATTATTAAATTATACAAATTGTACTAATAATAAATAAAGTTAAAAAGTTTATTTTAAATGTTAAGCATTAAGCTCTATTAATTTTAAATTAAACTTTTGAAAAATTTAACTGCATTATCTTAACTGCGCCATTCGACGATTATTTTTTAATAATTTTGATAATAAAATAATTTATTTAACTATTATAATTACTATTTTAAATTTTATAGTTTTTATTTATTTTTACAATTTTTTTATTTTACATAAATAATTTTAATTTTTTTAACTAATGTAAAATCAGAAAATTGGAGTTAAATAAATTTGAATTATTAGTTAAATATTATTGTGATTGAAATTTTCTTCTAATATAAATGTCATACATTCCACTGATTCATTCTTATCATCATTATCATAAGGAATATTATTATCATCCTTTTCAACTTGTATTTCATTGAATTGTTGCAATCGTGTCAGCAAAGATTGGACATGTACATTAACATCTTCTTGTAAATATGAGAGACAATATAAACATTTAAATCTACTATTATTATAACAAATTTTATGATATGTATGACTACAAGCTAAAACCACAATTAGACCTGTATTAATAGATGAAAAAATAGAACAATTAGCTATATCAAAATCATAAAATGGATTTAGTTTATGCAAAGTATTAAAACCTAAAGGAAGATGACATAATTTTGCTTCTGGCATTTTTATTACAACTAGAGGAATAATGTTATTAAATTCTTTTCCCTTTACTTTTTGAAAAAGAATTTATAGTAGCAGTCTGTAATGGAAATGTAAATGATATTTTATCATTAAAAATGTATATATAAATGTTAGAAAAATATTGTAACAAAATGCAAGCACTTTTTTTGGTTAAAATTATAATATTTTGTGTAGAATATTTATATACTGCCTATGTTGATGTGTGTGTAAAATTTTCTCTAAAACTATTATCATCTAAGTATAATGGTTGATATAGCATCTATATTTAATAATTTGTTGTACCTCCATATGTTTCTGTGTACCTCTATGTAAGAAACTATAAAAAATTTCAATAGTTGCATCTGAAAATTTCAGAAGTTCAGCCTTGATAGTTTTTAGAATTAGATGGTTATTTGACTCTCAATAAAAGACATCAAAAAAGAACATTAATGGTGCTTTAGTATAGTTTTTGTGTTGAAATTAAGAAATACTATCCAAATATGAAAACAAGATTTCAAATAAGTATTAAAATCACTAGATTGAAATAAATAGTGTAAATAATCAGGACCAAAAAAATTGCATTGTTAAGAAAATCCTTAAGTGTAAGATATTCAGCATCTTTGCATAAAAATCCAAATTTTACTTCCACTACCTTAAAAATTTTCTGCCAAGCATTACAGAAGATCTCTAAAAGTAGATTAATATGTTACAGTTTGGACTTTTATGCAAGAGATTTTTATGCTCTAAATATTTTTATATATAACTAAAAAAAGGTTGATATTAAAGAAATACCAATTCTCAATTATTTAGTAAAATATGCAAAGAACCTATAATAGGAATAAAAGATAAAATAGAATTAATAATATTTGAAGAATCATTATGAAGCAGATAATAAAAAATAGCTGTTCTAAGATATATTTAGTCTGACCAATCAGTAACAATAGAAATAACCTGTTCTTTTTAAATATATTGTATTATGAATAAAATATTTGTAATAATCTCAATAGTTTTAATATATGCATTTAAAGAATGAAGGTTATTTTCTTGTAAATCTACAAAAATAACATCTTTTATAGAATGAATAATACATTTTTCTTTAAACCTAATATCATAATTATGCATTGTTAACTCTTTCAATTTTGTATTATCATTAACTGTACGAAATCCCTAATACTGATTATTTGAAAATTCATAAAATGTCATGAATTTATTTTCTAAATTTATTTTGATCAATTCAGCATTAACCAAAAAAGGATTATGTATATATGCTCTTAGAATTGCATTTTATGAAGTGATAGAATTCATTAAAATATTTGCTAAATGTGCAGCAGTAAATATGGTAGTTATATTAGACATTCGTTTGGTATAAATACTATGATAATCATTAATATTTAATACTATTACTTTATTCGCATATTCAGCAAGTGCAAAATTAATAGTTTTAGCATATTCTTCAGATGTAACAGTTTTGTGTTATATAATTATACGAGATATTATGACTATACCTAAATTTGCAAGAGTATCAATAAAAGCATTAAAAATATCAGTAGAATCCAGTAGTAATCTTCATCAAAATTTTTGATATGAATATTTGAATTTAGCTGATCTATGGTTTTTTTGCTAATATTTTTACAATCTTTCAAATCAAGAAATTTTAAATTGAAACATGAGCGAGCAATTTCTTTGATAGTTGTACTAGTAATATTACAGTTACTAAAATCAAGATATTAGAGTTTTGAACAGAAACGTATAACATTACAAATTGATAGTTCGCTAACAAAACAGAAACTTAAGTCAAAATATTCTAATTTATGACATGTATAAGCCAGCGCTTTAATGCTTTCATTACCAATATCATTACTATAAATCTCTAACCATCTTAAATTTAGTGAAGAACTAATAATAGCTATGGTTAGTGCATTATTTCACAAACCCATAGCTCTACTAAAGTTATGATACTCTATATTGAAACATCTCTACATTAGAATACTAGTATCTTTGATGTAAATGCAATATCAAGAATTTGTAAATTTGAGTATAAGTTTAAAATGCAACTTATAGATCTATCTATAATCTAACGTATTTTAGCAAAATAGAACTCTTATAAATTATGACAATTTTTTGTAATTTTAAACAAAGATTTATTGATAATATTTCTGCTGTAAAAAATATTTAGATGTTTAATTTATGACATGATCCTATGAATGTACATAAGCCTTTATTGGTATTGTTTAAGTATTTTACAGATTGAAATATCTCAAATTGGAATATGCTTATGCTATTAGAATTAACACATTATCACTAAAACTTATACTTTCTTTGAAATTTAAATGAATTATATTTGGGAATGTATTCACAATAATTTTTATTTTTTTATCTGAAACTGAATAGTAACAAGTAATTTCTTGATGAATTATATTTAAGATATAAGCTAGTTTATTCTTTTCACATATTATTTTTACAAGTTTTTTTAATCAAAAATGAATCTTCACATTATAGCCATATCTTTGATTATTTTTCTCCAACTTGATATATTTTCATAAAATTGGAGCATTATATCTATATTAAAACCAGCAAACAAATAAAGTGAGATAAAGTAACTTATCTACCTCTAAGAAATATAAAATTTGTTTTAATACTTCTATTATATTAAAAATACCTGTATATGTCATAAATAATATATATTCTATTTTTAAATAAAAAAATAAAATTATCGCCTATTAATAGTTTTTTTAATAACACATATCAGCTGTATTGAACACTGCTTTTCTAAATTTCTTTATAGGATGATATGATAATGATTCATTTATCTGATTCTTTTATAATACCTTCTTTTTAGGTCGATGATATCTTATAGTATATCTGATCGTCTAATAATTTCTCCTTCTATTCATCAGAATCTTCGAATATTTCAAACGAATAAGAGAAACTCTTGTATTTTTTAATATTTGACGAAAGAGCTATTTCTTATATTAAGTTGATTACAGTCTACCTATTTACATATTTATCTAGATATTTAGTCTCTAAGAACTTTGAGCTATTATACTTAGAATGATAATTATTTAGCTTTTTCGCTAACAATCCAATTTCTCTAGAAAGCACATTATACACTTTTGAATTTTGTTTATTTAGTCCTAATAATTGGGCTATTTTTTTTATATGTTTGATAACTTCCTGTTCGCTAGATATATCAGATAAATGATTTTGATCAACTATCATTTTTGCGATATTTTATATATGCTAAATCTTAGACAAATGAAAAAAATAAAATTATCAGTAAGTTTCTTTAATGCATCAAGCTTAAATAATAGCCAAAAGCGTTTTGTAATATAGGATTAGTCTACTTTTTCTTTTATTTTTATCTGATTTTTCTAAGATTCTTTCAAATAATTGCAAGGTGTGTCATTCATTATGTCGTAAATTTCTACTAATTCATATTAGCCTATTACTTGTCTGCAGGCTAATTTTCACAAATATTAATAATGAGAATCATTTTTACCTCTATAAATCCTGCTAGTATGATCTGCACCTATCTTATCTCAATTTAATCAAAGCAATTCTATGTTGAGCTAAAGTGAGATTAATTGAATTTACATTAACTATATGATGCATCTTACTTATAAATTACAAAAATCTGAAATTTCAGATGCAAATTCACGTGACATTCATATAATTTAAATATCTTAATTCTGGCTGAATTCTGTAATATTAGCCAAAAAGTTATAATTTTATTTTTATAATTCATTTTAATTCTGCTATTATATGATCAGGAATTCGACGATGAGACCTATATTTATTAGCCACATACTCAGCCAACTTATCTGTAATTTTATTCCTATATAAATTCATATAATACCATACCTTTTGAGTGAACTTTCTTATTGTAATTACATTAATAGAATCTAAACTTTTAAGAACAACATGTTGCAAATCCAGCCATGAGTAATCATAATTTTTTTGAATGTATTTTTTTGCTGTACCCTAATATCGTTCAATAAAATTTAACTCACAGTGAAATTTGAGGTAAAAAATAACCTTATGATCTGCTTCTAAAATTACTTTCTCTAACATACTTTTTTGTATCAAAACATCAGGTTGTAATGAGATAATTTGACATGCACAACATTCTGTCTGAATTGCATCATATATTTTGTCTTTACATAATTTATAATCAGTATTTAGACTATCTCTTCACAAGTCATGTTCAATTAATATTTGCTTTATTTCTTTAGATTCGCCATTATTATTTATCATTGATTAATGTTATTATTTAGTCCAAAAAATGTATCTCTCATTTTAGGCTGCTTTCCCTTAGATTTTAGATTTATTCTACTAGCTATAAGAGCGTCAGGTTTAAATGTCGTATAGTTCGAGCTATTGTTAAATACAAACAGCCCAACACAATTAGAAAAGAGAGTCTCAAAAATTGGGATAGCTTTGGTTTGAACTTGGTTTATTAATGTTCATTTGTCCAATACCTATCTTAGTTTTTACCCAGTTGAAGATAAATATATGCTTCTTCAGATATAAAAGCATTTTCTTGAATTTGTTGATTATTTAGCTTAAGCTGGTCATATTCTTCTAATAAAAATTCACTGACTATAATCAAATATCCGTTACCTTTTTTACATAATGACAGTTCTCCCAACTTTACTCACATACCTTATTTTCTATTATTGGAATAAAATATATACTCATCATACGTCACAAGAATTATCTTTTTATCATTAGGTTCTAAAACTGGCGGAATACATTCCATGTTCTTACCTTTATATACTGCCATATATTTTTCATAACTAAACATTTCTTCCAAAAATGATTTTTGATATTCAACAACATCAGGACGCTCAAGCCCATCGTAGTATATTCCTTTTTAATTTTATTTATTAATTTTTATATTATATTCATAATTCAAATAATTAATAAAAATTTTTGCCTTATTTTTGTTGCTAAAAAAAAGCCAAGTATATTTAACCAATGTGCTGATATTATCATACTTATAG